ACCTATGCCAGGTTCAGTAGTTGTAACCGGGGTTCAGGCGAGTGGGGATAAACCCACGTATAAATCAAGTAAAACGGAGATTGCTCTTTGAAGTTTCTTAATTAAACTTGTCCAGAGAAACCTCAAAAGCCACCAGAAGCAGAGGAGGGCGGGGAGAAAGGCTGATAATGGGGGAGGCTAAATGAAGCTGGAGATGCGTGCTGCCCTTTCTGGCAACGGGGCGAACGCTGATTCATTTTTGCCAGGGTTTGCTTTGCATCCTGCTCAGGGCTGAACAGTATTATTATAGCTCTACTGCTGTCCTAAAATAATTGTATTTATCTCCGCGAGCGCAATGACATTCACGATAACACCGTTAACGTTACAGTTCCTTTCTGGCGCTTCAGAATGGCCACAGCTTGCTCGTGAGTAACACCTTCCAAAGCTTCCCCATTAACTGCTAAAATCTGATCGCCGCGCTTCAGTCTGCCATCGTCCGAAGCTGCTCCCTGCAAACGGCAAAGTGGTTCGTTAGCGCCTGCTAGCACCGAGCCCTCCCGCCTCTCCTAATGCCGATGGATGAAATGAGGAGGGGATGCAGCACTGGGAATTCCACCCTCACTGGGTGGGGGGCATGGGAAGTGCTGAAGTCTCCCTGAGTGCTTCAACCACTGCCCTTCGCTCGCCCAACCCTGCAAGGTCCGGGGCAGAGTGGATGGGTGATGCACCCCTGGGATGAGGAGAATCGGCTCATCTCTGGAAAAAATTGCAGGGTAAAGACTGGTTCTGGCTTTTATGACTACGGAGGGGTTTGTTAAAGCAGCAGTTAAGTACAGTCTGCACCCAGTGCTGAGAGAGGGGATGAATTGGGTAGAGGACAGGGATGCAGAGCTCACACAGCAGAGCCCCAAGCCCTGGATGGAAAAACTCCCACAGAGCTTTAGAAATGGCTCTTCTTTTCCAGAGGCCTCAGTGCAGCTCTTTTCCCTAAATCCTGAGCCCTGCCCTGTCCAGAGGTCTGCTCATGGTGGCTGTTTCTGCTCCATGGCCCCACCAGTGACTGCAGGGCGTTCTAGCTTCGATTTTGGGCTTCTCAGCTGTGCTCACATCCAGAAATCTGTAAATCTAAGCATCAGTTCAAAGACACAATATCTCCCCTTGTTAATAACTGAAAATTGTAACAAGAGCAGATATTTCATATTCCCTGTAAGGGTGGTGAGGCCCTGGCCCAGGTTGCCCAGAGAAGCTGTGGATGCCCCCTCCCTGGCAGTGCCCAAGGCCAGGTTGGACGGGGTTGGAGCAGCCTGGGCTGGTGGAGGTGTCCCTGCCCATGGGGGTTGGACTGGATGAGCTTTAAGGTCCCTTCCAACCCACACCATTTTTCTATGACTTGTGGTTTGAGCCCCAGAATCGCAGAAGCGGAGGAGACATGGCTTCTACTCCACCTTCAGATGAAGTTTTCTTAATTATGTCACCTACCCTGCCAGAAGTGCTGACCCAAGTGACAGCGCGTAGGCACAGGACAAGCAACTGCATGTGACTGACTTCCAAGGTATTTTACGGAAAGCACCCCTAATTCCCACTGTTTTCCTTCTTCCCCCATTTCCAGAACTACCTTCAGGTGGCCATGTCTTGGCTGGCCCACACTGAACACACTTCTAGCAAGGGGCTGGCACTTCTCCCTCCACACCAGTGGCCATACTGGGGCTGGGCTGTGCTGTACTATGCTTCTTCCTCAGCCACAGTGGGCTGGTGTTTTCATCTTTTTGGTGGTTTTTTCTCACAGAGGTGACTATTTAAGCGCAGTGGCTTATTGCTGGTTTTGCAGCTGAAGATCAGTCACAAAGATACAGCATCTCTGCAACCATGTCTCCCGTACAGGGGGAAAAGTGATGCCTTCACAGCTCTTGGAAGGCTCTTTTTTGATTTACAGATAGAAAACTACCTTATAAATATTTTAATGTATAAAAACAAGTTTCCCAAGTACACAGAGCAATTTTGCTGAGATAAAGTATCTTGTTTCAGCCATCAGTAATATGAAAGATAAACCGAGAAGCCAGCCCTGAGTTCTGGGTCCACTTACATCAATGTAGTAAGACAGTACATTTTGCTTTCTACTACATAATATATTACCCAAGCCAAATCTTAGGTTTACTTTTAAAGATAACAGAGAAAAAGGGAAAAAAAGGAAAACAAAAAGATACCTTGGCAAATATAGTCTTGACATAAATGGGCAGGTCTCCATGGGGACTTCCATACCCCCCTACAATACTAAATCCCAGTCCATCAGAGCCTTTCTCCAAAGTAATAATCTTAGGCTGAGGTGCTCTGAAAACATAATAAATATCACTTAGAATAGCAAGGTCTGTCTCGGGATTTTATGCAGAAGGAACGCTTACAGAGATATTTATCTGTTGAGAAGTGTTTCATACAGTCACAAACCGCGACTCTTGCCCTTGCACTGAAACCCCCTCCTGTGCAGCCTGCAGTTCAAATGGTGCTCCGTGTACATCAGCTCCTCACTTGGAAAACACTGATTTTTAATAAGAGCTCAACAAGAGCACTTATCTCTGATGCTGGAGTGAGACTCCTCTCATCTGCAGTAGTTGCACGTACGTGAAGGAGAGTTTGCTTTCCTGCCGGCCAAGCTGTCATCTCTGGTCTGCATAAGTGGAACTGCAACAATTTCCTCACAGCATAATTTTATTTTATGACTTCAGAGGAATGAGTCTAATAACATGCAGCCAGGAACACTCGTGTTTATAGTCCCAGCTCTACGGCAGGCTCTTTGGGCTGTTTTCTAACAACCTAGATTTGACCTACAACCCTGCCCCCCGTAACCCCAGAGTCCCTGGCTCACTGCATCACTTCAGGCCTGAACTCTCTCTGGGGGGTTTGTATTGTCTGCAGTGAGCAGAGGAAGATTTTTGGTGGAATTTAGACCAGTCATGTGTATACATCCATCTCAAATTAGAAAAAAACATAATTTCTACTTACTTAGAAAGAATTATTGTGGACAAAAGCTGTTAGGCATCTTCCACCTATATAAAGGTGTTGCCTATGTTGACTAATATCTAGCCATTTCTTCAGGACAGAACAAATCCATATGCCTACCTCCATATGCCTGCTCCATATTTCCACATTCAAATTTCCTTACTATTTCATACGAAGAGAGAAAACAAATCCTTTTGAGAAGTAAGCAATTCTCCTTTGAGAGCAGCAATAAAAACAGTATCTCGCATTGTAAGACTAGTGAATGCAGTATAAATAGCTTAACTTTTATACTCAAAAACCCCTGAGGTAGGGCAGCAACTTACATCTCGGCTTCTTAAAATAAACATAATGAATCAAAGAATGAAACTGAAGAACATAATGAAGCTAATGAACAAAAACTAAGACCAAATGGATTTCAAAATGATAACTGAAATGCTGTAAGTTGCCCTAAAAAGCACACGATGGAGAATGATGCATGGCCGTGGCAGGGCTAGATCTCTAACTTCCATCACCACACACGAGTGCTGTCAGTAGAAAAATTTTTAGTCTGACTTTTTTCAGTTGTAAAGCTAAAAAGACTCAAAAGACAAAGAAAAGTCTGGAACATGTTTTGAAACATTTGTCTCTGATACCAAGCTTTTTAACACCTCTTGCCTGAGTCTGCCAATAACAAATTGTCTGAAATCGCTGTGACCATAACTATTTTCAGGCAAGGACACCAACAGACAAGGGCAGAACCATGACATCTGTGTAACACATTAAAAAAGAGACTTTTTTTTTAAAATGTCCAGAACTAGTGCTTTGAAACACATTTTGTTCTTATTTACTTAAGCAACTCCTGTCAGCAGGTGAAGACGGACACAAGTCCGTAATCAGCTTGGAGAAGTTCATGGTTACCATTTTAAAGGTGAGGAAAAACTAGAGAGAAGAGCAATGGGAGAGACCTCCTTCACCAGCCTAGGCTTTTCCCTTGTGTGACAGGTAGAAATCTACCTTAGTTACACAGACTAAGTACAAACTTACTCGGGGTCTTCAGAAGGATGCTCAGAAGAGGAGTTAAGGTTGCATCCTGCAGACATGCTCTCCAGCTGGGTAGCGATAGCGCTGATGTTGGTATCGGCCACAACCTAAACAGAAGGATGCAATGAAATACTGTGTGCGCTCACTTAATGCCAATGACGTCTTGGCTAATCATGTAGAAAACAGCCATCGCCTTAGGAAAATCAGTCATTGATGGGGTTTTTTCCCCAAGCAAATTTCAAATGCAAGTCCTACTCTCTGAAATTTCCTACTAATTCAACACTTTCCAATAACAGAGTTATAATCCACACCGCTGTGGGGGTTAAATGCAAACTTTGCTCAGAAGCTTTCTCTTGCCTTTGCATGGCTATCACTGTGATGCTGAGCAGAGGGGAGCAGTCTCTTTGGATAATCCAGATACCGAGGTCACTTTGTCAATGAAAAAGGGACATCTCAGAGTCCACATAAGGAAGGCGTCCAGGTCTGGGCTTGAAAGTGAACGTCTCCCACAGAGAGCACTTCAGCCCTTAACAAAATACAGAGATCCAAAGGACTATTGGACAAAGGCCCTGAAATACATCAGACTGGTCTGCTTGCAGCCCCAGTGGGATTTATTAAACACCAAGTGTCAATGCCCACTCGAGCTGTTTGGTTTTTTTTTAACCTTTCCCTGCATGCTAATTTTCAATTCTTTGTTTTTTTCTGGGAAAAAAGTCAAGGAAACCACTATGAAGTGCTTTGGATTTTAAGTATTTACAGCTGAAAGGACATCCATTTCCTAACAACTACATGCTGTGGTTATTCCCAAATCCATCTCCTTCTGATGAGATATCCTTCTCTGCTTGATGGTTACTGTATGGCGCAGGAGTCTGTCTCAGGGACAGTGAGAAATAACCCAGTAAATGCATTTTCAATACTTCCTCTAGCTATCTATGGCCTTGTTTTATCAAAGTTAACAGGTACTTTTCCACCTCTTGCTGTGAACACGGCTTAAGGGAAATGTACTTTTTCGAAATTAAAAAAAAAATCCATTCTAGAAATCCCCCGTTTTAAATGAATGCTCCCAATTCTGCCACAACAGTATTTCCCTCTTTCTAATCATTTAGGGCCAAGAGGGTGGTAGCATTTACTAGGAAGGAAGATTAGTTCTCATGCAAATTTTGCATCCCAGGACTCAGGTTTTTGGATGCCCTAAATGAGGGGGTCCGACAGACGAGACAGCTGCACCTGGCACAGCCACCAAAGACACCGTTAAGTTTCCCTTCCTGTCACAGCAGGGAAAAGAGTGCCAGCCGGTATTTGTCGTATTTTGTTGTTAAGTAAAACGAGGGCAAAATAAATCTATATTCAAAAATCTTCAGTTGGCAGTAAGAACGTATCAGAGTTCAACAACCTTGTAAAAAAGCTTCCCCTTATCTCATTACTACACCTGCAGAAAAGAAATTAAATTAAACCAAAGCATCAAAACAGCCGAAAGGGATGATTGTTCCCCTGAGACCCTAATCTCCCATTTGCAAACAGCATTTGCAAACTCCTTTACCATCCTTCCCAGGACGTACTGATAATAAGCCTTTCCACACCACTGAACGCAATTATCTGACCTTTCAAAGCAGTTTGCCATGAAGTACCACTAACCTGATAATAAATAGAATTACTTAATGACACATCAGTCATGATTATCACAGCGATAGGATGATTCCATTTAGATTCTTTTAATAATAAAAGAGAAGCAATCCTGTGATTGAGAAGTACCTGCAGTTAGCATGGAAGGTAACCGTAGCACCAAGGCTCTGACACTACTCCCTGCCAGTATTAAAATATACCATCCTTCACAGAACAGATCTTGAACAGAGGGAAATAGATTCTATTCGATCAGAATAAACCTGTGTCATCTGTAACATGTATTAAGCCCATTTTAAGCTTGACAGCAAAAACATGGAGGAAAACCCATCAGCCGACAAACCCACAGACGTTTCTGGAAGAACTTCTTTGTTTATGGAGCAAAGTGA